TCACCAATATGAAGGAAAGCACCCCAATTCTTGGCTGCTGTTCTCCTCAGGCCCCAAACAAAGCAGTCAAGTCAAAGAGGCCTTTGCGGCCCTAACATTACCACCTCCCTCAACCCCTCAAGGCCCCAGCCGCCAGCCCGCTTACTTTACTGATGGGGATTCGCCTGCCCTCCGCGATCGTCTTCTTGTTATTTAAATAAGCAGGATAGATACAAATGAACCTGCCACAGAAAAGGCACAGCTGGTATCACTTGAGCGGAAGGTATTTCCAAAAATTCATTCATTCATCATCCACAGGATTGCCGGTACACCTACATTATTACTTGCTTAATATTTTTTCTTTAAATTGCCTCCCGTTTACTTAATTTACTTAAAAAGCAAACTTTAATTTACCACCTTAGATGGAAAAAACATCACTCGTTAGACAGTGTTTAAAAAAAAAAAAGCAAGCAAGCAACGCCGTAGCTGTTCCGCCGGACACAGCTGCCTGTCAAGCTCCCGAGGGTGGGGCCCGCTCTCACGGAAGGACCGCGTCGGAGGCACCGACGACTGAGGGCCCACGCGAGCCGTTCTGAACGTAACAGGCGTTAGGGAACAGACTTCTCACTGCGATTCCGTTACTTAACGTCAGATCCACGTGGCACCCAGGGTCCTCTGTGTCGCGTGCCGGTAAACCCCGAGCTTTTAAGGTCGGAATTGCAGGGACCCCGCGAAGGGCCCGGCGCTGCCCGCCTCCCGGAGGAACGAGCTCCGCGGCGGGCCTCGCCCAGGCTGGGGAAGGCGGCGCAGCACCCGCGGGCTCGCAGGAAGCCCCTTCCTTTCTCAGGACCCACCTGTCCTGCTCGGCCGGGGAGCGCGCGGCGGCACTAGCCATCTTCCCCCGGACCCACGCAGCGCCACCCGCGGAGCTGCAGGGAGAAAACCCGCCGGCACCCGGCTCTGTGGTTTGCCGGACCACCCCGCCTTCCGGCGGAAGTCCTGCCCTCCATTGCGCCCACGCGTCAGCGGGTTCTTACCGTCCGTTTGTTCCGGCACCTGTCGCTCGGCGCCAGGATCTCTAGTTTCTGACGTGGCGTTCGAACCTCTCTTCTCGCGAGAGGACACACGCAAGTTTCTAATTTCTTTCCTTCTCAAATCTCCCCAAAAACCAGGCGTTGCGCGCACATGCGCTGTTGCTAAAATGGGGTTAAAATTTAACCCTCCTTCATGTTCAATTTCCTTTGGAGTTTGCATAGTGCTAGCTACCCCCACCTTAGACTAGGGCTGTGTGCTGCAGGTACTCTGTGTAGTTCTGAGCAGGTTGTTAGGGCAGGCAAGGAAATGCCCTTTATGTTTTTTTTTT